ATGTTTCAACCTCTCATCATGTCTAGAACATGGTTAGATTTAGCGTAAGTCAGTCAGTCAGTCAGTCAGTCAGTCAGCCACGATCGTCTATATATATTAGATGACAGTTGTGGCCACTTGTGGACGTGTGTGGTCGCACAGCAATCGCATATCCTTCATGTTCAAGTCTATCTGTTAGGATTGGATGGCTGCTTCGCGACGTGTCATCGTGATAAAATGCGCTGCTGCGTTCACATGCTCACGCCTTGGCTGGAAATAAATTAGGAGCTTTCCATACCTGACCAAAAAATAGTCGCTATCACTTTCCCTCGATTGAGGTTTGAACTTGGAGGTTTTCCAAGTAAAATGTGTTATTATGAAAGTCTATTGCGACAAGGAAAGTCCAATATTGGATATAGGATTTTAGGGAAAAGAATATTCAACATAAGAAAATCAAACGCTGAAGTCGAATTTTTCGACCTTGCTGGGAGAAATCTTCCCTTTTCTCTCCTTCCGTTACATGCGGCTCCTTACGGGAAGTCAACAATGTATTTGCAAGTCGATTGCCAGAATTGATGCCAATAATGTACGCCATTATTATTAGGATTGGTTCTTGGACCGAGTTTCCATTTTAAAAAAATTGGGGCCAGGAAATCAAGTTCCAGAGAAAATAACGAAGAAACATTTTGAGGCCACAAATAAATTTGCACATTAAGCCATGCGTAACGGAAATACAACGAGAGCCCTAGTAGCAAATAGCATTGAAAAAAACAGAGATTCAGTTTTCGTTCAATATCTGAACGTTGAAACAACATTGCTTCAATGTTATATGCCACTAGGGAGGGCACACGTCTCCTGCCACGACTGAGAAATTCCAGTGTCGCATTTGGCTTTCTTAATGCAAAACAAGCCTAACACTAAAATCTGACATCCAGCATGACGACACATATGACTACTGAAGTATCAACATCTTATACACTAGTGTAACATACTTTCTTTTGATGTGTCAGGCTCTGGAAAGTTCCTGAACAATGAAAAGAAGTCTTCTCAGGAAGCTCGTGTAACCCTTCAATACAAGTCCACCAGCCACTTCGAGTCACTGACTATGGAGCAGCTCCGCACAGATGCTATCGAATTCCCGGATTTGTTTTACAAAGACATCGCCACTCACGTCGTCACAGGGATTGTGTACGGAGCAGACGCAAACTTCGTCTTCGGTAAGAAGGTCGGCTCTTCTGAGACGGTCCGTGAAGTCGAGGGGAAGATGAACGCCGTCATAGGGAAAATCAATGGTAAGGAAACCTTATGGAACGCATGTTGGACTCAAACACTTAACCCTCAGGAAACAGTCCTATAGGATTTCTATAAGTATGTACAGGAATATATAGGAATCCTAGAATATTCATATTAAGATTCTATAGGAAACCTATAGGAAATCTTTTTCGATCGCATAGGGTTCCTATAGGGTTCCTATAAGATCTCATGAAATCCTGTAGGATACCATTAGAATCCTATTGGCTGCCCATGAGATCCTGTAGGTTCCTATCGATGTCCTAAGGGTCTCCAAGGGAAAAATATATGTTTCCTACAGGACCTTCTCAAAAGGGGGAACCGATGGAAGCAGTGCAATACCCTCATATACAAAGGCCCTTTCTTGTCCTGATTCCAATTTGAATGAATCTAGGGAGTAGAAAAATGTAGGCTGGTGCGTTAGTCACCGACGCTCAGTTTGAGTCCCTCAAAGTCTCACAGGTAGCATGCGGCAAATTATTCGACCCCCCTCGCTGTCATCAAGCAAATATCCAGAAAGGGAAATAAAAGTATTCATGTATTCATTCATTTATACCAAGGGTCATGTGCTGGGTGTCTGGACACTGCAGAGAAGCATGATTTTCTTTCTAAGATCTTTTGGAATAAATTAATACTGATATTGGATCGTGGAGGCTAGTGCATAATCATGATCATGAAGGCTAGTGCAAAAACAAGTTTCTGTTCCCTTCAGGCAAATAATAAACTCGGCTGGGAAAATACGATGTCTGATCGGAGAGTAAAGTAAGTAAGTTGGCCTGAGTATTGCGTTGCATTTATTCATGTTATGTGTAACTTACGTACATTGGTAGTGCGGGTGCACCTGTAACGTGCACGGGACGCAGTGGGTCGGAATGTATCAATCAAATAGATACAAAGAAACGACCTACTTTCTCTAATTTTCTATGAGACTTCAGGCAATTCACTTTCTTCGGGAAAAATTACCTTTAAATTCTCTCAACGTCCCGCACTGGACAAAACTCCAAGAACTCCTTTTGGTGAGCGAGATTCCTGCCTGTTCAATGTTCGAGAATAGAGTATCACCACACCAAGTCTGACTGATTTATTATAAAAATTGAATAAGTTTCACTGAACAAAAAAAAACAACATAAAAAGAATGTAATATTGACCCTTGGAGGACAATGTCGAAACAAAAGGAATAAAATGTAATAGGAACCTTAATCAACAGAAAAAGAACCGGTCCATCCATCTCACATACAAAACAAATGGAATGAATTTCGGTCTTTACGGATTTAGATAAAGACTTACCCCAATCTTAATCCCTTACTCAATCTATTTCGCTAGCACCTAACTCGGAAATACAACTCAGCGTCGAAAGAACTCACGTATCATGTCCTCAGACACTCGTCACAGAATCGAATTTAAGATGAAGCTACGGGACCAAAGGAACACTTCGTGTAGGGGAGGAGATGAAAAAGAAAATACCTTTGAGGGAGGGAACCACGATCAAAAGGTAGGGCCGAGCCCCCGATCAGCTCGGAACTAATCTTCTAGGACAAAAACTGCTCTCTTGGAAAACTCTTAGACTCAGAAGGCGTTTCGTAAACGGATCACCTTCCTTATTGGTCATCTAGGTTTCACAAAATGCCTTCATTGGGTAGTCACTTGAGGACAGAGTTATTCCCATTAATTCCTAGATCTGGTTTACCGTCCTTGTACGTGCCCAAGAAATGGGTTTGGGAGAGGTGCAATCCCATAAACTATTGGGTTGGAAAGAAAGTCTTGTAACACTCTGCGCAAATTTGTCAAAATTTTATAACTTTATTGAAATGCAATTTCAGTCTACAAAGTAATGACCATTGTTGTCTATGACATGTTCCCAACGCACAGGTAACTGCTCGATGCCCTTTGCCCAGAACTCTGGCGATAGCGAAGCGAAGAAACGGCCGACATCATTTTCGAGCTGTGCTCGATCGTCGAAGGCCTTGTCCCGCAGGTGATACTTGAGGGCCGGGAACAAGTGATAGTCGGAAGGGGCCAAGTCCGGAGAATACGCTGGATGGGGTAAAACTTCCCAGCCCGGTTCCGAAATTGTCTGGCGAGTCATCTTCGCAACACGTGGACGAGCGTTGTCATGCAGAAGGAGAACATTGTCGCGTTCGGGACGCTCTTTTTGAATGACGCCAGCCAACTTCTGAAGTCGAGCAGCGTAGACGACGGCAGTCACGGTGGTACCGGTTGGCAGGAGCTCATAGTACAACATTCCTTCTGAATCCCACCGACAGCAGAGAAGAACCTTCTTCTCGTGGAACCCTGGTTTCGGTTCGTGTGGCGGCAATTCTCCTCGTGGAAGCCACTGACTCTTGCGAGTANAGGCGAAGAGTTGCTCGTTCGATCGGAGCCATGGCTGCCAACTAATGGCATAAGCCGCCTTATATACCCCGAGGGCAGAAGCTTCGAGAACATTCCAGCATATGCCAATGCAAAGCCCAGCCCATCATTCCTTTGAAAATTTTCATAAATAGTTTTAGAAAGTTTTCCAAGACTTTCTTTCCAACCCAATACTTGCTGTGATGGAGTTACACTTTGATCCCAGCGACTGTCATCTACCACGGATGTCAAAACAGGACGTCGACTTAGAAAGCTAGCAATTAGTCTTCATCAAGGGACAATTAGCTTAATATTGGGTCAAATGGATCTGTACTCTCTTTACATGCATCAATCCTAGTACGTGGGTCATATTTGATCATGTACGGGTACAATCACTCCAGTTCCGCTACGAACTTTATACATACAGAAAAGGCGGAAGAATCCGACCTTTCATAGTCTTTTTACGTATCGAACGCCTCTCTGCCTCCATTGGTGTGCTTCTAGTGTTCCAGAAGAGGAAGAGTGAGAAAAGGCGAAAACACCGAACATCCCTGGGATGATGTCTTCCCTCGTATCATAAAGTTGTCCTCCCCGTTTCTCTTGAGGTCAAATTGGTCATCCCATCCGCCCCTCGTTAGCTTTTAGGAACGACTTTCTTCTTTTCCACTCTGTCTCGTCTATACTCTCAAATCATCGTCAATTAATCTTGGTCAAGATGTTGATTAAGTTAGTGCCTGGTACGCCACGTTACACACCACTATTTCTCGACCTAGTCGCCTGAGATTTTGACATTGTCTCATCAAGGCAACAGTTTGTCGAGGCCAGCAGAGTAAAATGCAGGGTCTTGTATGCGTAACCACATCCGCACATCCACTTCATCGTCCTCATCAGACGAAAAAGCAGTGTTCACCGAGGTTCAATGGGCTAAACAGATGGAAATCACGATGCGCCTGGTCGGGATTGTATGACAGGTGTTCGAGGACCTCCCATTGAAACCCCTTAATATGGCCCTGCAAAATGAAACCTGGTCATAACGCCCCCTTCAAGGTCGAATTTGACTTTTACAATGTTTTAAAATATTGATTCATATATCATTTACTAAATCCCAGGAAGTCACTTGCAAAAAGCCACGTGGATATTACGCCTTTGGATCCTTTCCAAGTTGGTCTTAGGAGGCCATATTACCCATATATTCAATATTTGGAGGAATATGACCACTTCTGAAAAAGCAACTCCAGGCTTTTCAGGATCGTGTGAAATATGCTGTAACTTGCTGGTAACTTCAAACATAATAAAAGACGCTCAGGAGCTGAAAAGGAAACACTAACTGGATTGAGAAGAAGCAAAGAAGTCGACATCATTACCTGACTCGAGGATCTGCCACGGAAAACAGGATTGCAACGGTCTTGGTTTTAAGTAGCATTGCACGTGATTGGGAGACTGTATCTACAAACTATGGGTGTAAGAGGAGGGATCAAACATAGATCAGAATGAACATGCGCAAAGAGTGTGAAATATGAGGTCTAACATTGCAGGAAAAACATTGCGAAGATTTTGCACGCAGGCAAATAGTGGCAAACAATTGCAGAATACCTTGTTAACTTATTGCACGTGGGATATTTACTTGCATTCACGTTCGTGTCGCAAAATTGTTTGGTGCATGTCAGGTGGATGTCTGAAATGTGGTGCATGTACGCATCCTCATGCACCGCCTCCTCATGAACTGTATATTTCGTCCAGATGTCCAGTACGTCTATCCATATATCCATGGGATGATCACCAGGATCTTATACCTTTTGCTGCCTGAGGTCCCACGTGAAAAGAAGAGTTGACACTACCAATAGGTCGGTGGGGTGCTATCATGTAATCAATTGTTTGTCCATGTTACCCCAAATCGGAGTGGCCATATTCCCCCATATTGGCTTCCATTACAAAATTGACAACACCCTAAGTGTATCGAAAATGAAGGGGCTAACGCTTTCCACAAGCATTCAGGAGGAACCATTGCATAACTTTGAACAAATGGTTTTAGTATCCATGCTCCTGTTAGGAAATATACTCTTAAGTGAGTCAAAGCCCATATGAGTTTCAGGGCGGTTGGTTGAAGAATCGCATGCATATCACTAGAATAAATCTATTTATCCCGAATTCCGGTGAGAATCAGATCAATGAACAGGTCTAAACATTTCGACAATTACATGCATTCTTCGATAGAACTATATTCAAAAGTCTCCAAAGATAATTATTTTTTCTGTTAAGGGATTCATTGTGAAGGGCCATATTACCCCATGTTACCCTATCTTGAAACAAGATGTTGCACTATTCAAGCACATTCATCAGGAATATGACATTGTCTTCATACACCTCTGTCAGTTATCAATGAATTTCAACAAGTAAAACAAGAAACGTATAACAGTACACACTTCTTCGCGGGACCACGCGTGTAAGCGTTTCGCCATTTTGACAACGTACTGCTCCTGAACTGCGTACATATGATTATAGAACTTTCACAGTGTTGCCAACTATGAACATTCGAATGTTTTTCTCAACTGTGGTACGAGTGGTCCCCATGGCATCATTTTGTTTTCCCAGACGAACTTACTTTACTTTCTGTTCAGCCCTCGTATATATTAATTCCATATCCTAAATGCCTTCAGTGCTGCATACTCTCCATCCTGACTTATTTATCGTTTAGTTGAACGTCCTCCGAATTTAATTATTTTTCTCATATTCAAAATACTTTCGGAATTGCTGAAAAGTTGAAATATTTTCCTCAGGCGCTTTTTCCGCCGAAGGAAATGCATCTGTGAATCTGAACGAAGAGGAAAGAGAAGGAACAACTCATTTCCATTGCAAATACCATGGAGACCTCCTACTCCCGAAAAATCCAACCACGTTCCAGGACTGTATTGACTTATACAAACTGCTGCCAACCCTCTCTTCTCAAGAAAATAGTGTCCCGAAGTGGGTGCATCTCTACCCTCTGCATAAACTGGACAATAGAGCAGTTCAAATTATTCGGGAAATTAGCATGGGAATTGTGCAGGATATAGAAGGGATTTTAGAGGCCTTGCAGGCTGCGAAAGTCCGTGCGAACGACTTGGCGGACTCGATTGTGTCTCATCACTTCTCTGGAATCCGTGTTCAGATGGCTACCTTCAAGTCGCTTGTTGATAGATTCAAGACCAATTTCCAGAAGCGTATTTTGCCTCAGTTGAAGTCTGTTCGTGGCTGCCTGGACGAAGAGACCTCTCTCTCTAAAATAATTCAAGAATCGATAGAATCCCCTTTTAATAAGGAGAAACTCTACATCTGGCTGGCGGAGAAAGAAACAGAAACAAAAATTTTAGAAAGATACCTCGAATTCTTTAAAGGAGCCACGCTTGCATTTGCTCCTGGCGATTTCTTCAATGTCATTCACGATATGAAGATAACGCATGCCGTCAGTTTCGTCTTCCAAGTCACTCCGAAAACGGATGAATATTTGGAACAGATGACTCAGTTCGTGGATGGGAAGATGGACGGATTCTCCCTAAAGCAGGACATTCAAACGTTTTGGTACAAGGATAAAAAAATCATAGAAGCATTGCAAACCAATGCCAGACATTTTATGGAATTCCTTAATGCTAACGAGAGTCACAGTCACTTGAAATTCGTTGTGACAGAGTATCAACTGAGAGAGAAGATTCATGACATCGTCCTATACGAAAGAGGTGTCCCAAGATCCTTCGTTCCCCCAGGGAAGCCAGGAGTCCCGAAGCTTATTAAAGTGACACACAATTCCATACATTTTAATTGGAAGCCACCTCTCTGCGGATCCGAAAATTTGGAAAAATACGAAGTGTTGTATAAATCGACCGAAGCCAACGACTCTTGGAAGGAGCATACGATACACAAGAAGAGAGAAAAAGTTGTCATCTCCAGCCTAACTCACAGTACGGAATACGTATTCAAGGTTTGTTTCAAAATGCTACCCTTTTTCCACCCAATGAATCGAGGTAACGACGTGAAGGTTGCTGCTATTTTTTCCCTGCTGAGAAAACATTTCCATCTGCTTGAAATGTGTTGGATGAATATTCTACATTGCATCATGTACTTTTCATGCCAAAACAGGTTCGAGGCATCTGCTCAGTCGGAAAGAGTACGGAGAGTGACGAGAGTGATCCTATGAAGACTGACCCGCCTAAAAGCGATCCATGCAATAGTTTTCTATTTGCGTTTCATGGTCAACTCATTTGATTTCTCATGATGAATGAAGTCAAAATAATTGTCTAAATAGTTTCTCTTCATATTTCGCGCAAACGAGGTGCACCTCCTATCAAAATGGTGGCGATTTTTGCGAGGTGAGGTTGAACGAGAAGAAGAAATGTTGAAGGAGCTCCCACAGGACGGCGATGAGCCAGTTGTTGCTGGTATAAAACGGTTGGTGCTGGCGCGGAAAATACGTTTGTCACGGCAGTTGCGGTACGAAGTGCCTAAATCAGTGCTAGCCGTAATGGTTAAAATCGGTGATGAACAGCAAGCACATGTACGTAGGGAGCTTAGTGTCGCTCATACCGCTGAACAGCAAGAGGCATCGAATGCTGAGCTTCAGAATAGGAGAGCCGTGCAGCCTGCTCAGCAAATTGATGCAAGGTTGGCATTTTCAGGAATTAGTCTTTAGCATTGTGCCGCACATGCACTAACTTCCCTCTGCCGTTGGAAACGGTCAGTACTCTTCCAGAATCATTTGTGTCTGTAGCATAGACTAACGCGAATAGCCGATGAGCTAATCGGTGATGCAAGAGTGTTGAATGTGTTGGGAAGACGAAATCAGCAATTTCGTCTTGAGTCTCAGGAAAACGTGCTAAACCGAGGCGTTCACAATTGCGATTGTGACAATCAACTCGAATATCATGATGATGGTGTTTAGGAGCAGAATATCCCTGTGTACTCTAAGCTATATGTATATAAATGTAATGAAGCGGTTCTGTTCCGAATGGGTAATGCAATGAACAGAGGATTGTCTAGAAGACGTTTTGCTCTGAATAGACGATTCAAATTCCCACATACTAGACGGCCAGCGTAGCGGCCGCAGGCAGCTAGTCTCTATTTGAAATAGAGAACATTTCCACTGGACGGGCCATATACAAGCTACCGATACGAGAGATCAGGGAGCAAGGGACTAACAAACTCATCAAGTATGAAGTTGGAACTCCCAACATGACACCAGAGAAGAGGATTTTGATAGTTGGAGCAACTGGAGCAGGTCAGTCAAATGTTATTTGTATATCATTCCTTTCGTGAAGAGGCAAAACATTGAAAGAATGACGAATTATAGCATGTTCTGCCCCATGATCAGCAACCGGAAGAAGCCTGTGCTCAAGCAGAAATCAGTCTAGCGGGCTTCTTCCATTCTGCTTTGGAATTAACGTCCCTTCAACTCCGACTTCATATAGGACGGGCTATATAATGTTCCACAATAACGATCAATATAAAATCCTTTTGGAATACATAATATGGATATGAAAACGCTTTCTCTAATTCTCCTTGTCCCCAGACCAGGAGGCGTACGAGGAATCTTCACTGTGGCTATCTTCGCTTTTCCTTGCATTCCACACATGATTGTATGGTATGGTGCATAATAAGCACACCAGGTGATATTTTTTATATATTGAGGCGAGCTCTTCGTGGTTTTACAGTATGCCAGGAAGTTCACAGTAAAGGCATTTTTTTAGATTTTATATAATATGCAAAATGACGGGAAATCCATGACTCATGACATGGGACACTTGCAGCAGATACAATTAATGACTCCATCCAGGAGTTTCCATCGATATCGATGAAACAATGGCATATGCTCTGATATGTATCATGATTACACTTACAGATACTTGGCTGCAGGTGCTGCAGTTAAATTCCTATTCAAAACCAGCATCGTCTTCGAGATACTCTAGGATTCGGATGAAAAATGATTTCTTGGTTTTTCTCGCTTTTTAAGCGAGCAATATGAATTTGCTCTTACAAAGTCATGTATAGATTGTTTCAATAAAAATTCTCGTATCAATACACTTTAACAGTCTAGTACACAGATACATGTCCAATAATGTTAATTAATAGTTCAAGAGGAATCCATTAAAATTTTACTTGTCAGCACTAAACGATAACCTCGAGATAGCATTGTTATGGTTTAGCACAACATGGCGCAGGTTCATGTCTCTAATAAGCAGCGCAAGAGGTTATAAAATCGGTACTGGAAATAGAAAATATTAACCACATGTTCAGCATTAATAGAGACGTGAGTATAGCAATATACCACTAACGCGAATCACAATTCCATGGTTAAGAGACAAATTTAACACTGGAGGCATCATGCAATACAACTCTTGAAAGAACCACTTTTCAGGATCCTGTAGACACTCGTTTTATTTATTCTAAGCCCACGAGCACCTTCCGCGTGGATGTACTCGTATCAATACATCGTTCGTGAGTGGCTAACACAATTGCTACGCTTTCCTCATTTCGTGTAGTGCATGACCTATTGTTGTCTTGAACGGTGGCTGCTGCTTCAAAGAAAAGTGGGAATTTTCCTCCAGATAGCGTCCCACCTGTTCCATTCCTATTCAAACCGTTTCCATTCGATGTAACACTTCATTTGGTGGAAAAGGGGCAATGGCCACACCGTAGTCTGATGTTACCCAAATCCGTTAGAGGCAAAAGTCTCAGGTAATGTAAGTCGGCGGATTTCGACATTAAAGGTGTCTAAACCTACCATTTTTACCCAACTAGGGCCAAAGATAGGGCCGCCTTACCTTCAGGGTGACTTTTCCCGCTGGGGGGAACTTTGAGGTCCAATATCTTTTAAATCGTTTGGGCTGGAGTGCTGGCATTTGGAATACCTTCATTTCTCAGCGAGGTTATGATTCATGAATTTTCGCAAAAAAATCCCAGTTGCACATGCAACCACGATTTCGATTACTTGAGCTGGAATGTCTCATTGTGGTTTGATTCAAGAATTCAAGAATTCAGTAACGCATTACAAGAAATAGTTATTCTCTGTAATTTTGCAGATTACTAGCATAATCCTTTTCATGGTATCTTTTGGATGTATTAATGTTTGGGGGTTGATGCTATGGTCAAAGGTCAAACTTCTTGTCCATTAATAACATAGTGTTTTTGTTTCAAGCAATATTTTAATACAAATTTAGAACTTTTCTGGCAATCTCCAGTGTATCGACACCATAGTCTAGTAAGGGTAGTCCTTGAGTTACAGATATATCAAAATCGGAGGTCAGAAGGTGACCTCATATTTTGACCATCCTGTAGCATCTGACCCATTGACCCGATGGGCTGAAATTTTACATTTCCGAGTGTTCAGACATGATAACCTTGCATAGTAAATTTCATCAAAACCTGAGATGGTAGTATATTACCCATTCGTTGATTTTTCATGGATTCACCCAATTGCGTTCAACCAAGGTGTTTTTCAGTGAAAAACATTTTCTCCTGCATTCACTATCCAGTTATCGAAGTCGATTGACAATATGAATACCCTGTTTTTACTAGGGTTTCTGATTAGCCTCGGATAAGCGCCTGGCATATTCGAGATACCACAGAAATGCAATAACATGCGCACAACACCATTTTGAGACCATTTTTATACTGATATCAATATCCAGCCATGGCCTCGGCACCACTCTTCGCCACATCTAATGAAATGTAGACCTGATATTTAAAAATTTTGGTGGCGAGACTTGATACGCCCACAGATCAGCAATGAGCCTTCTGCGAAACCCGTGTCAACAAGACTCGCAGCTAAAATCATTTCCCGTCAATCCTGTTAATGAGATCCAAACCCCTTTTAGCCAATGGTCGGCGGCTATTTTTTCGAAAAAAAAAAGTGATGAAACAAGATTTCCTCGCCAGATGGCACTTTCACTTTTTACAAGTTAAAAAAAAGGTGACTCCAGGGCATGAATTGTATTACCTATTGTTATGATTTCAAGAACGGGAGGACGTTGGAGGGGAAGGCGGGGGAAGCCAGTTCATCATAGGCCCCCTAATGAGGAGGCCTCCCCAGTTCTCCAAGGGGTAGCTCTTGATCTTTCCACATCACAGCCAGCTTTAATGGCTAGTGGTTGATTTATGGGTTGTGATATCAATGGTTTGTTATATGACTAAGTGTCTGCGACAGGGCGATTCTCTGGGTTCGATTTAGTAGGTATGGACACTTTATGCGTCGAAATCAGTCAAACTTGCCTGGTTTGTTCGCCCTCTAGCGGATCAGGAAAACCTTGGATGATGGTGTCACTATTGCCATGTACTCTATCGATCGGCACTGGTTTCATCGTCAGACACAATTAGGAAAAATCCCATTGGATGTAAAGATCCTCCTTGGTCTCTTAACCATGCAATTGTGAGTCACGTTGATAGTCAGCAAATAAGATCACGTCTCCATTTATGCTGCACATGTGAAACGTTTTCAGATTTACAGTACCATTCCAGTAACCTCTTGCAATGCTTAAGAGAGAGTCGACCCATGCCTTTTTGCACAAAATTACAGCAATGCCATCTAGCGGCTGTGGTTTCGTGCTGACTGGTAACAGTTTCGTAGTGTTCTCCTCAGTTAATAGCCTACCTTATTAGACAGCCTTTCTTTGTGTACTAGACTGATTTTAGTTCGTTCAAATTTCATTCAACCTTCTGTACCTTCAGGAAAACTAATTAATGTAGTCCATGTTTTTACTTCTCACAGGGAAGAGTACGCTGATTAATGCAATGGTGAACTACCTCTATAGAGTAAACTGGGACGATGACTTCCGATTCAAATTAATCACGGAAGAGGGCCAGGGAGACCAGGCCCATAGCCAGACAAAGGAAATTACAGCATACACGTTATACTGGGAAGAAGGCTTTGCCCTCGAGAACTCGTTCACCATCATCGATACCCCGGGGTTCGGAGATACGGCGGGAATTCACGCGGATAAGGATATTCTGGACAAGATGGGAGAATTTTTCCAAAGAACTGGGCAACATAGCGTTGATAAGTTGGACGTTATTGGATGTGTCATCCAGGCTTCACAAGCTCGACTCACAGCGACTCGGAAATACATATTTGACTCCGTTATGGCTCTTTTTGGAAAGAACGTTAAAACGATTTTCCGGCTGATGCTGACATTTGCAGATGGTCAACGTTCGCCTGCTCTGGATGCCGCAAAGGCGGCTGAAATTCCTTACTCATCGCTTTACAAGTTCAACAACTCGGCCTTCTTTCCAGAGGAGTACGAAGGACAAGTTCATAATGAAGAGTTTTCCAAGTTGTTTTTTTCCAATGGGCATGGGAAGTTTCGAGAGATTTTTCAAAGATTTCGTTTTGTGTCAACCTGTGAGTCTGCTTCTGACAAAAGAAGTACTACTAGAAAGACGCAAATTGGAAGCCATCATCAATGGACTTCAACCACGAATAACTGCTGGTAAGTTCTGCCTTCTGGATAATATGGGCATGTTCTACGAACAGGAAAATAATTATTTTTCTCTTGAATCTTCTTAAGCCACCCAAAACGTATGCATCATCTTGCTAGTATGCCAGAACCCGGATCGCGAACGAACTTGCGGCTTATTATCATGTCATTCCTATTCTTCTACTGTGCAAGGAAAGGAAATAGTATTTGAGTGGGAAGTCACCGGCAGAGATACAATTTTTAAAAGCCAATTTCTAATGTATTTTTTCATCTTGGTCAAGGAAGTGTTAAATGGCGATGAAATATTTTCTACTTCAGCCAAATACGAACACGATATGGTTGAGCAATCTAGAAGGGCTGTTACTGAAATTCTTGAACTTGTTCTCCTTCCCATATTCTTGACCTAAAGTGAACGTCATGGACATCACGGACAAAATGATATTTGAATGCTCATGGCAAAGTTCAATAGAGCATTCCTCATTGCTTCCACATTGTACGTGTAAGACAATGGAAAAAGAAATCGTAAAGTATTGCATGGACATATTTCTAAGTTAGTCACAGCCATGTTTGCATTTAAATATATTCAATATATATCCTTGAAAATCTTGGAAAGGTTGAGAGAAGCCTAAGATGATGCCTCTATCTGACGTAAGAGTAATTTATTAGTGACTATTATTCATTTAAAAAAATCACCGTTAAATATGAGCAATCCTTCTGACAGTCCATCTTCAGCTTCAGCACATAACATTGTGGCAGTTGCATGACGATTCTGGGTCTCACGTCAAGAGAAAACTTTTTGATGTTCTGTATTCTCAGGATAGAAAATCAATGACACCAAATGGTCATTTACTCGACTCAAATTCATCGTGTATTTTTCTGGAAGAAATGTAATAGATGGAAAGTACGATTGTGTAGCTTAGATTTTCAGGGAATTTGAGTGTCCTTGAAAAAGAGGACATCATCAGAGATTCATTGAAAGCCTAAATAAGTGGACGAATTGCATTAAAACTACATTAAGTACTTTATTACAACAACATTGCAAATAACTTGTCCTGCTTCCCAGCGAACTTGCAAAAGGGTGCAAAGTTGCTCGCAATGTCTTCACATGCTTTTTTTACCACCTGATAAAGTTTCTGAGAATTCCACTCAGGTGATGTTTAATCACTTCTTTTCTTAAGGCTTGTCAACGATGGAGGAGCTTGAACAAGAAGAGAAGGTTTTGGAGAAATACAAAGCTCAAATAGAGGCAAACAAAGAATTTCGTTACAAGGTGAAGGAGACTCATCAGCGGCAAATTGACTTGGCAGCAGGAGAATACGTGACCAACTGCCTCACATGTAACAGAACTTGCCACTTTCCTGGTGGTATCGCTGACGATGGAGATAAGAAAAATTGCGCTGCGATGACGGAGGATGTTACGTGCGAGATATGCCCCAACAAATGTGAGTGGCATCGACATCGCAATAACCAATACCGCTTCGAGCTGGTTGAAGTAGAAGTTGAAAGGACTTCAGAGGATCTCAAGAAACGCCTCAATGCTGGAACCAAGGGGAAGTGGAGAACCAAGAAGATGATCAACAAGCTTAAGGAAGAAATAAAGAGAGAAGAGAATCAATTTCGGTCTAAGGTCTTTCGTGCACATGCGTGCATTAAGAGACTGGACGAAATCGCCTTGAAACCCGATCCCTTGACTATCTTGGATTACATTGACTTGCTCATCCAGTCAGAGAAGCAAGAAAAAAAGCCAGGTTTCTCAGATAAAGTTGCTATGCTATACAAACAAAGAGAGCATATCGCATTGCTTCAACAGGTTCGCAAGGGGGAAAACCCGTTTGACAAAGGGTTGGGGTCCACTGCGTGATTCGTAAGAGTACTTTATAGTTCTCATAGGTTGAACAGAAGCTTCGAAATATATACTATCATCATTATATCAGCATACTTTCAATATCATGAAAAAGAGGCAATGGCAAAATGGTAAATATTCAATGCAGGCGCAACTGGATACATAAACGCGCTTTCATTGTTGAAGTGTGCTTCTTTCAACATTACAGTCAGATTGAATCGTTTACAACGTTGATATAACTTTGACGTAGTGAATGGGAAATCGTCATGCTCTTAAAGCAGGGGTGTCAAACTCAAATCGGTCGGCAGGCCGCATTCCTTTCCCTGCAGATGCCTGCGGGCCACGCCCATAATTTTCCACCAAAATGTGAGCTAACTGTCAATGCAAGCGGAAATTTCAAGAACAGACGGCGGGCCGGATGAACTACCTCCGCGGGTCGTATGTTTGGCACCCCTGCCTTAAGGGATGTGTAACAGTATTTCCTTGATCCTTATTGAATAAACATTTCTTGTTCCCACAGCTGCAAATATTTCCGACCAACCATATGCGAGGTTCACAACTACACAGGATTCGCGATGATTGCATACATCATTTTCGTGCAAGACAATAATTGCGAATCATCAATTGTGGAACTAACGTTTCCTCTGATCTTACGCATAGAATGATGAAGTATCCGAGAGATATCCCGTGGATGGCTTCACGAGTTCTGGGGATTTTGCAGTTATATTAAATGCAAAATAATGAAATGCAGCAACTAATTTTTTTGGAACGTATTAAATTCACAGGAATATAGCTGGCCTAAACAAGAACTTCATGCTTGAATTACGATTATTTTTGGACAGCGGGGAAAATCGCTAATGAAATGAATATAACGTATGCAGAACCGAAAATCTCAAGACTGTTGGTTAAATCGTTGAATTTCATCGGTCGTGAAACGAAGATTGTTATAATGCATGATGCCAGAGGTGGAATGACTTCTTTTAAAGCACGTATGGCATTGCCCATTTTAGGTAGTGGCTCCGAATGTAATATGTTTTTAATTGCACCTGTTGAGGCCGTTTCTTCAGGTCTTGAATATTAAGTGGTGGGGTAAAATACAAATATAATTGGCATAAAACCCTCGAAAGCAAATGACAGAACAAAGATACACATACATAGATAAAACCCTCTCATCTAAGCACAGAATCCCGGAATTTTCATGGATATCTGAAATCATGTCTTACATCAAAACTTGAAGTTAAGTGTGAGTGCTGAGTTAAGTATTAGGTTCATGGGGACTGGAATTCAAATTTATCATCTTGATATCCAAAATATAATAATCAGCAGGTTCCTCTATTGAAATTCCATGTCCATGACTGTTGTTGGAGAGCATGAGCAGGATTTGGTGGAGTACCCGTTGCACTGCAGTGATAAGGTTCACTGTTCAAACAGGGGAGTATTTTTCAAGATTAAAGATTCAAGATTCAAGATAGTGATATCAAGAGGCGATTTCACTCATTTCGATATCACATGTCGAGGTCGAGCGTTCCTTAATTGTAGGGTAGGCCTAACCCTCTTAAGGATGAATATAGCTCATATATAGATTTTTTTTTACTATCCTAGTTGCTTACTATCTATTACCTAATGTCAACATTGCCCCCCCCCCCAACCTTTTTGCCTGTCCATGAAAGCATCCAGTTTCTTCTTAAAGATAATCACAGAAGGGGCAGTCACTACTTCGTCATCTAACGCATTCCACGCGTTCACCACTCT